TGACATGCCTGTTTCAGCAAGTCAGTTCTTGCAAGACAGAAAAAATATGCTCCCTGAAGGTGACTGTTACTGAGATAGTAAAACATACAGTGAGCAGTTAGATGAGACAGAGAAAGCATTGCATTGGGAAATAGAGAGAAATGTTTGCATAATATGTCTGTTTCAAAAAATGTAAGCTATTATAGCAGTTGTTAAAAAAAAAAGCACAAAACTTTTACAGTCTTTCAGAGAGACAGCAGTCAACTATCTCTGTCATTGTGTAGTACCCTGTGATCAGAATTAGCATGTTCATTACAGTCTCATTTTATTAATTCCTTTTTTTGAAGATGAACACAGTTGTCCCTGCTGTGAAAATGGTGCTTTGCCATTTATGTTATAAAGTGGTCTCGGCTGGGGATCCAGGCTAGGAACATTAAAGAACAAAGCACAGCTGCTTGACTGTCACACAAAAGGATTTTTATGAAAGACAGAAACAAAAGGAAGGGTGGCCAACATAGAACAAACTTGCTGACAATTATGGGACTGAGGGAAGATTACTTGAGAAGCCTTAAAAAATAGTTGAGTACTTGGAATAAATTGATACCAACATGATAAGACCTTCTTGAATATTGCATTGCCATGTTGTAAAGAAGTAGTGGTGGGAAGAGCCACTTTAACTAGACATCTGAGTTTCAGTAGTGTCACATTTAGAACTTAATATAACTGTTTTGAGGAAAGGTGTTTTTCTTAGCTGTTGAGATGCTAGTTAAGACACAAGTAATCCCATAGTAGAGTGCCTGGGTTCAATACCCAGCTCTAGCTCCTGACTCCAGCTTCCTGCTGACCTAGATTCTGGGAGGAAGCAAAGAGTTTTCAATAGATGGTTTCCTGCTACCCATGTGGGAGACCTGGATTTGACTTATGGCTTTGGCCTGGCAAAGCCCCAGCATTTGTGGGCATTTACGGAGTGAACGAGTTGATGGGAGATTTTCTTTCTCTGCCTCTCAAATAAGTAAAATAGCTTTCTTATGTATCAGTGTTCATAAAGGCAAAAGCCCACGTGGACAGTTCTTGGGAGACTGTCATTGTGGAGACGTTAAAAATGATAGTACTTTGGAAAAAGTGTGTGCATGAACAGAGGCTCTTCCTATTCCTGTGATCTGTCTTCTGAGAGCCACTATGTGGGTGATGTGTGCTCCTTCCTTGGAAACGTGGGCACTTGTTGTCTACTCTGAGATTATGCTTTTTTTTAAAGATTTGATTTATTTATTTGAAATACAGAGTTACAGAGAGAGGTAGAGACTGAAAGAGGTCCTCCATCCACTGGTTCACTCCCCAGATGGCTGCAACAGCTGGAGCTGCACCAATCTGAAGCCAGGAACCAGGAGCTTCTTCCGGGTCTCCCACGTAGGAGCAGGGGCCCAAGGACCTGGGCCATCTGCTACTGCTATCCCAGGCCATAGCAGAGAGCTGAGTCAGAAGAGGAGCAGCCGGGACTAGAACCGGCCCCTATACCTCCATATGGGTGGCTGGCGCTTAAGGCCGGGGCGTTAACCCGCTGCACCACAGTGCAGGCCCCAAGATTATGCTTCAGGGGTCTCAGAGAAATGAGTGCTCTTGTAAATCAGTATATGTAAATAAGAACCATTTTCTTCTTTGCACCTCTTGTTAAGATACTATTTTTAGGAGCCAGCATTGGCATTGCAGTGGTGTAAGCCACCACATGTCCTGGCATTGGCCATTGTGGTCATTTGGGGAGTAGACAAGTGGTTGCAGGGTCTGCATCTCCATTTCCCGCTATCTCTGTAACTCTGCTTTTTGAATAGGTAAGTAAATCTTTCAAATAAATAAGGCTACTATTTTTATAACTTTGAATATAAAGACTTATAGATGTTTACTGCTGAGTTGCTATTGTTGACTTGCTACTGTTAACTTACTATTGATTTACTCTTGGTGGTAGGTGTGGTTATGTATTTGTTAGGGATCTCCAGAAGCCAAGAACTAATAAGACGTATACTTACTTATAAGGAAAGGGATTTATTATAAGGAGTGCATCCACCTGATTTTTGAGAGACAGATCCCAAGATGTGTTAGGTGAGCAGCAAGCTGGAGACCCAAGAGAACCAAGTGTCATTCTAGTCCACAGGCTGCGTGCCCAAGACCCAGGCAGAGCTGCCTCAAAATCCAGTCCAAAGCAGGAAGAAGCTGTTGTTGGAGTTCAAGGTGGTCAGGCAGGAGGAATTCTCATTTCCTCGGGGAGGGTCTGCCTTTTTGTTCTATTCAGTTGTTCTACTGATTGGATGAGATTCAATCACATTAGGGTGTGCGGGTCTGTTTTACTCAGTGAACTGAAGCAAGTATTTATCCCAACCAAAAACAGGTTCACAGTATCACCTGATATAATAGTCAGCCAAATACCTGAGCACCCTATGGACCAGTTATGTTGACATATAAAATTTGCCATCATGAGTGGGTTTGAACAATAGCAGCTCAGGATGGAGAAGTAAAGAGCAATAGTAGAAGAAAATGAGGTTGAGACATACCTCATTGACCAAAGAGATTAAAGTACGTAAGTGAGAAATCATGTGATTAAGTTAACATAGACCGACTCGGTGTGAAATGAAATTTACAACAGTGTTCACTAAAATAATTTTCTTATGGCAATTTACTTAAAGTAATACATCAAACAATCCGTTGTCCCTTATATATAATTGAATTGATGTTTGTACTTTAAAGCTTAGCTGGCTGGCGCCATGGCTCACTAGGCTAATCCTCCACCTTGTGGCGCTGGCACACCGGGTTCTAGTCCCGGTCAGGGCACCGGGTTCTGTCCCAGTTGCCCTTCTTCCAGGCCAGCTCTCTGCTGTGGCCAGGGAGTGCAGTGGAGGATGGCCCAAGTCCTTGGGCCCTGCACCCCATGGGAGACCAGGAGAAGCACCTGCCTCCTGCCTTTGGATAGGTGCGGTGCGCCGGCCGCAGCACACCGGCCGCAGCGGCCATTGGAGGGTGAACCAATGGCAAGGGAAGACCTTTCTCTCTCTCTCTCTCTCACTGTCCACTCTGCCTGTCAAAAAAAAAAAAAAAAAAAGAATGATTTTAAAAAATTTAATATTCTGGGTTTCAAAATTAGTTTTATTTTAAGCTACTAATTAAGATGTAGTTTTAAAAGTTGTGCATGCATAATTTATAGGGATTCGGGGTGCAGATACACCAAATGCCTCATCTAGAGTTTAATTATCAAAGTCCTAATTATGTATCTCCCTAAAAGAGCAAATAACTTATTTTACTGTATTAAAAATTACTTATGAATTAATCCATATTAAGCACAACTATAACGTAAGTCCTACTATTCTTAATATATTTTATATCAAGAAAATATCAGACCATCTTGTTTGTGATCTTGCAAAATGAGCTTATGTTTGAATTTGCTTCTCAGAAGTTCTCATGCCATTCAATTTTTATCTTTGAACTTTAGCCTAGACCTCAAACTTTTATGCATATTCAATATAAATTATTTTCACCCATTAAAACCCTTTAATCTGTAGGTTTTTTACTAACATATTTAGCTAATGAGTTTTTATGATACCAAGATTTTTCTCTTATGCCTACTGATATCTATATTCAGGTTTTAAATTTAGTCATACTTTAAATTTTCCAAGAAGCGACTCTGTATTTGTTGGAGTATAATACCGTAAGAATGATTAAAATGAAAGAAGCTCTGTATCATAAATGAGACCAGAAAATTGATATAGTTTTCAGATATGTCTTGTCCTTCTCACTATTGGCATACAAATTTTTCTTGTTTGTATGTTTAATTCCATGAGTAACCACATATCTATCATTTAACATTCAATTAGAAAATTAAATATGGTAGAAAGGTATAACCTCATAAATACTTGATATCCTTTAATGAAGTTAGTTACCGGTTGTCAATATTTATGCATTGAATAAACTGAAAAATCTTTTGATGCATATTTGTGTATCTGCTTTATATGTAATATGCACATTTGCAAATATATTAGTATACTGTGTATGATCAACTCAATTGGCTTCATAGCATTTTCCCTTATATTTATTTATATTCTTTTTTTCTTAACAGTTTTATTGTATATATCAACATTCCCTCACCCCTTGATGTGTAAGCTCCATTAAATTTGTGGCCTAGAAATGTTTCTACCATTAATGGACACCCAGTAAATAAGTGGGGATTGAATTTATGTGGAGTTGAATGGATAGGTAGGTGAATAGGTAGGTAGATAGATATACATATGGTCAGATAGGTACATATGATGCAGTAAGAAACCATTTGCATGGGAATTAGACTCACGTTACACATAATGGGCAATGTGATAATTACTTCAGTAGCATCTGCAGGAAGGAGTGTGTGGTATTGAACCAGATCATCAAAGCAGATTGAAAGAGAGGTACAGGGGAGAGAGTGAAACAGAAAGAACCATGGTGGAAATAGAGTGTCCCAAATAACTAGATATGAGTTTATATCAACAGCCCACTGCTTCCTAGTTGTATGGGTTTAGACACATTACTCAATTTTAAATGTTAATTCTTCATCTTCAGAGTGGGAAATAATCCTAACTATTTCTTTGGATTATTTTGAAAAGCTGATGCCATATATCTATGGGAACCACATGGCACAGTGACTTGAAGTTGCTGAAAAATGTTAATTTCCTTCCTTTTCTCCCCATAGTACCTTTGAAACCGACTTATTTGGTTTGACTCTGTCATCCACTACTGAATCCACAGTATCTATAGCAATGCTAGGCACATGGAAATTCCTGCAGTGTTTGTTGTATGAGTATATGGCCGTAGTGATGGCAAAGAAGGGTAAGAACCTAGAAAAAGGAGTTTTCTGTGTCTTATAGTGCTTAGTAGTACTTAGTCTGAAGGACTGAAAATCAGCTTTTCCTGTGGAAATAAGGACATATCATGGATCCAGTAATTTGGGAAGACTGAAAATCATTTTTGATGCAATGCTATTTAACATAAAATAGCAAGAATTTTTTTTTCAATTAGGTCTTATTTATTTATGTTACATTTATCATGCCATGAATTCATAAGGAATGGGTTCCAGCAACTCAGGCTCCTTTCCATTGGTTCTGACTAAGTGGGCTTCTCTGGGTGGAGCAGGCTGACGCTTTAGTTGAACCCAGGTACCCTTCTCTTTGGCTTCCTTCTTCTTCTGATCATTTTCCTTCACACGTTTCAAGAAGCTATCTCGGCTCTTAGAGTGCTTAATGTGTTCAATACGCACATTTATTCTCTTGGCAAGAATCTTGCCCTTCACTTGTTTGTTTACAACAATGCCAACAGCATGCTGGGTAACATTGTAGACTCTTCCAGTTTTTCCATGGTAACATTTATGGGGCATTCCTTTTTGAACAGTACCCATTCCCTTGATGTCCACAATGTCACCTTTCTTGTAAATGCGCATGTATGTGGCCAAGGGAACAACTCCATGTTTTCTGAAAAGCCTGGAGAACATGTACCGGGTACCTCGCCTCTTTCCCTTTGTGTTCGTCATCTTGGCGAATTACTGGAAGATGGTGGCTCCGGCCGAAAGGAAAAAATAGCAAGAATTTTAACTTCTTTTTCCTTATGTTTTTGCTTAATGTTGTGTTAACACATTTTCATATTCTTCAGAATGCTTTATAATATATTTAGGACCAAGTAGTCCACTGCTGACTCTTCCTAGGTCAAAATAGAGTCATACAATTACTGTTCTATTCCTTCTGAAATGTCCAAGGTAACAGAATATATAAAAACTTAGCATTGTTTTTTCATACCTATGTAAATGTAGCATCATTAGTTATATATATTAGAAGAAGCAGAGATAATCTCATAGATCATTTCAGGATTCCACTGGTAATAGAAAAGGATTTTTCTGTATGTGATTTTTTGTTTTAGATTATTTCTGTTATCAAACTCAGCATAAGAAGTGATAGAAGGTATAATTATGGGTTCAGATTTTTAAACAATAGACTTGAGATTGAATTTTGAATCCCCTGTCCACCCTGGTTTTATGCAATTTTTTAACTTTTCCAAATTTACTAGAGATAGTAAACAAACTTCCTACTAGAAAGATAAACATGTAGTGTATGAGAAGGTATTTTTTATTGTCATGGATTTATCCATTTGATAACATGATTCACTCTAGGCTAGGGATTATGCTAAGTATGAGAGTATAAAGAAAATGGAAAAGAGGAAAAGACATGAACCCTTCCTGCTTCCAAGGAAGCTACACTCTGTCTGATGGGAAATTGTGATTTTGGTTAAAATGACAAGTCAGTTATGAACTCTCACACACACACACAGAATGAAGTTGGGGAAAATGAAGTCAGTTATTGTAATTCTTAATTTATTTATTTATATGAGAGAGAAATCTCCCATCTCCTGTTCATTAGGGCCAAAACTGGGAGTCAGAAATTCATTCTGGGTCTCCCATTTGATTGGCATGGATCAAATTACTGGAGCCATGATCTAAGGCTCCCCAGGGTCTGAATTTGCAGGAAACGAATCAGGAGCAGAGCCAGGACTTGAATCCACATACTCTTATATGGAATACAGGCATCCTATGTAATGGCTGAGGTTTACATTTTTAATTTCTTTTTTTTTTTTTTTTCGATGAATTTATTTTGAAAAACAGGCAGATAGTGACTGAGAGAGATTTTTCCATCCTCTGGTTCCCACATTAGATAGCAACTGCAGGAGCTGTGCCTGGGAGAGGGCAGGAGCTGGAAACTCAATCCAGATCTTGCATGTGGGTGGCAGGGACCCAACTATGACCTGCAGCCTCCCAGGCTGATCATTAGCAGGAAGCTGGAATCTGGAGCAGAGCTGACTCTCCAATCTAGGCACTATCATGTGGAACTCAGGCATCTCAGGCAGCGTCTTCACCAACACGCCGCCAAGTGCCACACCTCTGAAGTCTACTTTAGAAGAAAAGTGCTCTCAGTGAATCAGCTGATACATTGCCAGACTAGTATTGCAGTAAGAACTAATGTCTCCTTTAGCATTCTGTGAGTGACTGTAATATTTGTTGAAACGCAACATGTGTTTGACACTTGAAGCCTAAATGACAGAAAAATTAAAGTCACCATTTTTTTCAGTATGAGTAAAAATATTCTGAGAGAAAATTATATTTCATTCGAAGGAAGATTTTAGATTTACTATCCTTGGGTTTTGAGAAAATATGATGCAGTAAAAGAACTTGAGTAATTACCATCAAAGTGATTTTCCCATTTGTTTCTCTCACAACTAATAATAGTAAAAGGAGTTTTTATTACTGCACTTAATGTTTTTTATGAATCCTTTGTGCTCTATTTGGAGATGACAAAGTGTACCTAAATATGAAATAATTTTAATGTGAACTAGTAAAATAACTTACAACAACTTCTCCTTCAGAAGACTTCAATAAGCACAAAGCATTTCCATAATAAAATATATATTTGTTTAAAAATAGGTGTTTAGGCATTTTAACTCCTAAGGAAAACCTGTTGGTATATATTCTAAAACAGAAGTGTTTTAGATATGTTAATTTTTGAGGCCTAACAACTTGGGTTAGAGCCCAGTACCTTGAAGTGTCATTTATGTACACTGCTTTTTATGTATGTCATTATATCTTTTGATGATAGGTCTGCATTTCTAGATATTGCCAAGCTTGTTGTAAACTGACATCAAGTGCTGTAGCTGACTTACTGTGGGTCCATTAATCTTTCTTGCTAAGATGCATTAATAAAGTTCTTACTCGCTCGCTCAATAGCAAATGGAAATCCCTCATCTCATTCTACAAACAGATAAATCATCACCTAGGAGAAGAGTTTACTCTGAAATTACTATTCTCAGTTGTTTTCCATAAATGCACTACAAAGAACCAAGAATGACATTAAGTACCACCCAGAGGGAATGGGGTTTTGCCCCATAGGAGTGGAGTTTGGGACAATAATTTCTTAATTCTCTATGAACATGTTTAGAATATGAATCTGATAATTACAAAATAAACCTAGATATTTTTAAATTAAATAAACTTTACACTGAGATAATGAAAGTGTTCATTTGTTGTAACACCCTGAGCCCAAAGAAACTTTGGAGTTAGAGCCCTGTCTTGGCATGGTGCCTTTAGTAATATGTCCAATTGATTACATACTTTTCTAAAATCTGCAAAAGTAAAAGTGTCACATTTTTCCTATAGAATAGGCTTGTACATCTTCATAAGCTTTAGACTTTTACAAAACCTAGTGTTACCACTGGGATAGGACTGAGGAAGAACAGTTCTGAATTTTATTTTACGTGATGGAAAGAAAAAATAGTTAACTACTTTGGTTCATGGATGTGGCTCTATCATAGAAGGTAAATGCCTTCTCTTACTTGCCAACCGTGGATTAGCATAGAAGTCAAAGGACTTTACTCAGTGTTTACAATTCACTCCCTAAATTTTATGAAGAACACTGTCACCCTGTTTTCTTCCTCTTCTGCTTAACATACGATACTACAGAGGCACCAAACGTGACTGCTTTCTCCTGGAACAGGATGCTTATACACATAACACCAGGGTCACTCCCATTAAGTGCACTTTAGCTGGTGACTGGAAAGTTTCTCTAGTTTAAAAGGCCATTTTTTTTTTTTTGCCACTTATACCTTAACATCACCACTATCACTGATGCAAATTATCTTTTCATCAAGGTGCTATGGATTCATAATTTTTCTCATATATTATAGCTATAAAGTTAACATATACTAGAACTCACCTGATGAATTTCTGTGCTTACTTTCTATCAGTGGCAAGCTTTCTTGAATATCAAACGAGAAGAGACATGGAGAGGGATGGGAGTAGTTGGAGATCTTCCCTTAAAGGTTTTATCATAAAATTCCATAAGCTAAATATTTAGTCAATTTTTCACTCTTTGTATTAAAAAACCTTGCTCATTTTTTTAAATTTATTTGCAAGGCAAAGAGACAGAGATCTTTCATCTACTCTCAAATGCCCACAGTAGCTGGAGCTGAACCAGGCCTAACTCAGGAACTCAATGCAGATCTACTTGGGTGCAAGGATGCAATTGCTTGAGCTGTCATCTGCTGCCTCCCAGGGTGTACTTTAGCAGCTAAGGTGGAAGAGAGATTGGAGCTAGGCCTCAAACCCAGCAATTCCGATATGGCACAGGGATGTGCCAAACAACATCTTAACTGCTAGGACCAACACATGTCCCCAGATCTCATTTCTTAGTGAGTAAACACTATGCAACTTGTTTGCTTGTTCAGTTTTCACAGAATTTTGGGAAAGCAAAAATAAAAACTAACTAGAAAAGTTAAGATTATTAAAAATCACCTCGCATGCAGTGTAATATAGGGGATGTGGTATGTTTTCGTATGCAAATGTTCTTTTTTTTAAGTCAAAGAGATCCTTAACTCTCAATGAAACATCTTCTGAGTACTTTACTGACTAATAAAAGAAGCTCTGTCTTCATTGTGGAGGAGCTACAAGTTCAATGGGCCAAAGGTGCAGAAGTGAAGGGACCAAACATTAAATATGATGATAACTAGGTGTTCTTGCTCCTGGTCCTGTCCTCTTTTTACTTTCCCACATGGCTGTTTGATGCTCTGTTGTAAAAAGGAAATTAAGTGCAATGTGACATAGAGGAATATAGGGATTTATTTTGGCAGAGAGGTGCCTAGAAGGGTGAGGGTTTGTGAAATGTATCCTAACTTCAGCAGCAGAGGACCCAGAGTTGGTAGTGTAAGTGGCATTTTGCCACCACCCTTGAGTGTCTCTCTAATGAGGGTAGAAAGAACTATGAGAACATCAAAGTGTGGGATGGAGTGGGATGTAAGAGATGCATGGTTCTGCAAAGCAAAATGAATTGAGAGCATCCACTGTAAAGACTTAGTGATCTCCCAAGACCAATTAAACGGGCATGCATGTGTGGTTTTCAAAATTTTTGTACCAAAATAAATATTTTTTAATTCCATTTTCATGAATTCTATGAATTACACTTATATGTTGGTTTAATAAAAGTCAAGTTCATAAAGTAGAGAGCAACGTGGTGGTTACCAGGAGTTGGGGTGCTGGACAAGGATATGGAATTTTGGTTAGTAAAAAGTTCAAAGTTCTATTGTACAATGTCGTGACTGTAGTTAATGATGTATTTTTGAAGCATGAGAGTGGATGTAAAGTGTTCTTACCACAAAAATATCATGAGGTGAGATATCTAATTAGCTAAACTTAGCCCATAAATGCATATACTTCAGAACATGTTATCCTATTGTGTCCTTGTTTTATCATCCATAACCTCTGAAAAACCTATGCTTGCAGGAGATTACCAGGGTACCTTGCCCTCAGTCTGACAATATAACAAATAATTAGTCCTCCTTCATTAAGAAAAGTGTCCAAAGACTCTTTGTTCATCATTTATGGCTTTATGAGCAGTATATTTTCATGGAAAAGAACAGTTCAGAATCAGCTGGGCTTGTTCTTCTTGCAAATTAACAGTTGTTAGACTTGCTGGGCATCAAGCCCTTCACATATATGGTCTATGGTATTTAATGTT